CCCTTTGTGTTCGTCATTTTGGTTAATTACTGGAAGATGGCGGTTCCGGCCAAAAGGAAGCTCCTTATTTTTCTTGATCTTGACAGATGTGGCATCCTTCCATCAGGCTGTTAGCAGAAAGTCTTTGATGTCCTCAATTTCCGAGGCATGGTGGGGAGCTCAGGGAGAGGGCGCCCACGAAGAGGACAGGCTTTATTTCTACTAACTGGTTATAGCTCTAGAGTCATGCCGAAGTGCCCACCTATTCTACCAATTTCCAGCAGGCATTCCCTCACGGGATTACACATTTTGGTATCCTAGACCTCATGGAATCAAAACCCATCCACCTCCCTTCTGGGCTTACCGTAAATTTGTGAGTAACAGACCCCTTCTCCCCACTCTAACCCACGGGAACCGTTAGGTGCTGCACGTTCCCCTGGGCGGTGGCCGGGCTGCCGTGAGCCCCGCGTGCTCGCCAGGCCGTGCTGCTCTCCACGGTGCCCTCTTAGCCAGATCTTCCCCTCTTGTGGGCAGCTCCAGAGCTTGGCTTATTAGCTGTGCTCCTGGCACCGTGAAGTGTGAGTCAATTTTACACCTTATGAACCAAGGGTGGATCTAGGCTTACTGAACTTTTCCTGAGTATGGAAAACCTGCATCGGAATCACCTCATTTGTGTTGTAGAAATGCTCATCTCCAGGTTCAATCTCTAAAAATGTCCTCGTTCTCTAGGACTAGGACCTAGAAATACAGACTTGGAGCAATTTCTGTGAGTTATTCTTACTTTCCTAACAGTTTAAGAAATTCCATTTGGGGAGGGGAAGAGGAGTACTGAGCCGCTCTGAGTGTGATTAGGCTAACGCGTGGAGCCTGACGGAAGGGCTAGGCTGGAATTTGGAAATAGAAATGCCCAGCTATGGAAGGCCTACTTCTCTAAACCAAAAACATCACCAACTTTCTCACATGGTGATGGAACTAATTTCACAGCTGGCCCAGAGCAGTGATAAATCCGGGTTTCAGATTGCTCTCCACATTTGGCCTGGCCGTCTCATGCTCTACTACGCCCACAAGTGTACAGAGGTACTTCTTGTAGAGTGTGGGCTCGCTAAGGACTCCAGCAAAGGTGAGACTGGACACTTGCTGTGCAGGGACTGGAAATAAGTTGAATAAGCTGCTAAGGAGAGCATAGTATCATAAGGATGAGATATACACAAATGATAAATTCCATTAGAACTCAATTATGAGGGGCCGGCAGGTGGCGGTGTGGTTAAGGCACTGGACTCCCACATGGCCGACCATGATTTGAGTCCCGGATCTCACGGTTTGCTTTCTCATTTTCCACCCCTTCTTTCTGTCCCTCTCTGGTCAAATTAAAAAATAATAATGACAGGGGCCAGCAGGTGGCATGGTGGTTAAGAATGCTGGACTCCCACATGACTGACCAAGGTTTGAGTCCCAGACCTGGCAGCTTTCTCTCTCTCTCTCCCCATCTCTGGTCAAGTTAAAGTAAATAAATAAAGTTAAATAAAATAATTCTTAAAAAAATAATAATGACAAATAAAATTAAATGAGTAACTAAAAAAAACCTCAATTATAGTCATGATAAAAGCAAAATCAACATCTTATCTGAGCAAAAAGAAAAAAGATATAAATTTTGTTTGGGGACTACGTGAAACACTTCATATGATTAGTAAGTTAAGTGGGCATTTAAAGATGAATTTTTCCAGATCAAGAAGAGCTGTGAGTCTTTATTTATTATTTTTTTTTGGAGAGGTTTTTGCTATAGGGCACGTGTGCTCGCCAGACAGACAGAGAGAGAAGGAGAGACAGAAAGCGAGAAATTACCCCCCCCCAGGGGGGATGGCCATGCCGCAATCCCTTCTCCTCCATTCTCCTCTTGGGATCTTGGGCACACACGCACACGCGCCCGGCGTGAGATTAAGCCACCGGGTCTGGGATGTGAACTGCGGTCAACTATGTGGGAGTCCAGTGACATAGCCATTACGCTAACTGCCTGGTCCCTGGAGGCTATGAGTCTTTAAAGGAACTGAACACCCACATTTTGAGTGTTTGTGGGAAAAGGACATAATGAAGATAATCAAAGTACTGTTTAAATACACATGCAGTGATTATGGAAGTATATGCTACTTTAAAGAGAGCAAGCAAACTGCACACTTGTTGAATAGAAGGATGATTTAAACTTGATGGGTTTAAAGCTCACCCGAGCATAAGCTGAGCTGGCTTTGAGACAGAAGAAGTTTAAATGTTGCCTTTGGATCTTTCCCGCCTCATCTAGTAGCGCCATAATATACCCACTACATGATATTTCTGCTTTTAGGTAATTGCCAGATGATCTTTTTAATATTCTAATTTAAAAAAGAGATGTGACTGTTTTGACCTATTTGATTCTCATATAAAAATGTTTAGACTCTTAAAGGCTTTAAGATATAGCAACTTGGGCCAGCAGGTGGTGTGGTAAAGGTGCTGGACTCCCACGTGGCTGACACTGGTTTGAGTCCTGGACCTGGTAGCTTGCTTTTTCATGTTCTTCTCTCTCTTTCTGTCTCTCTCTGGTGAGCATGGATACCTTATAGGAAATTAAAAATAATAATAATGATAAATAACACTGACTAATGTTTTAAAAGATATAATGACTTATACTAATTATGAAATTTTAAAAATATCCTAAAATTACACCATTTGCGGCAGAATACTTGTGCTCTCTCAAACATGCTACTAGTTACTCTCCTGCATGGAAAATATGATCTTTACATGCAACTCCAGTGAACCCTGTAAAGGTAACATTTTCTAAAAGTTGCAGGTTTGGTACTTCAGTCATTAATAAAAGTGAAAGCTGTTAGATTCATTTTCTGGGTACAGAAAACATGAAAATCAGAGCTTTCCATAATGCAGAACTGTGCTTTATGGACTCAAGTGTTGGTCTCTGTAGATCTCAACAGTTGAAGATAGGCATGGAGGGTCTGCATAACTTCTCCAATCAATAAACAGAAATCGCATAGCTATTGTCGACGGAAAAAATAACCAACTGTAAAATTAATAATGAATAATTAATGCGGTTTATTTCCAAGCCAACTGTGAGTGACCTAGGCCCGGAGAAGAGGCATGCATGCCTTTCTCAGGGTGATCATGTACAGGGGTTCCTTTTACTTGTTTTTGAGATTGACAGACAACATTTAGTGAAAAGATTTTCCATTGGTCTGGCCCAAAAAGGCAGGACATATGGGGGAGGCTTGTAGGTTATAGGTGGGTTCTACAATCCTTAGGTTGGTGATTGGAAGGGAAGAGCTGTGTCTTAGTTAAAGAAAGGCTTAATCTACATCTCAAGGAAAAGGGAAATTCTGTGTCTTGGGAAGGGATAAGCACAAGAATACACTATAATCGGTTGAAATACACATCTCAAAGATACTATGCCAGGGACAGGAGGTAGGAAGAATCCTGTTAATAGAAAGTAAATGGTCTGTTAATGTTTGTGGGCATGACTTCCCCAGTCCCCTTTTGAAAAGATAGGAAAAGTAGTCAGACTTCTGTCCACACTGTGTACAATGCAATGTAACATTGTTTTAGTACTCTAAATCTATATGCCTTAAAGTACATATAAACAATACTGTCTCCTACAACAAACTCGGTTCTCGGTGGGGAATAAGAATACATACAAAGTTGCCTAAGATAGGAGGTGATAAAAGCTGGCTTTTGTACCTGTTCCAACACTGCATTTCTTAGGTTTCTCTCCCTGGCCAGTTGGAAGAATGTTCATTCAGAGAGACTGGCTCTTGTTTATGGTTAACAGAACACATAAGGCATCTCACATCAACAGGTCTTTTTGCTTCAAGTACAAACCAGCAAAACTCCCTTCGAAGTGTCAAAAGAAGTTACTGTAACTGCAGGATTATTCCTTTCCACACCCAATCAATTAAAATTTACTTAAACTTGTTCTAAATGGAAATCCCCAAAGGGAACAACTTGGACCAAAGTTCACTAAAAATAAGCAAAACAATGTAATTAACCCTTGAGATGAAATGTTTGAGATTTGGCATGGAGTGACAACAGTACTTCTTCAAATAAAAGACAGAGCTATTTCTTGGGTATTGAAGTTTATTTGTTACAATTCCAACTCTGATGTCCTTCGGGCAGAACCCCCTCTGACAGCAGGTCATTCCGCCGTACCTAGCTCTCTCCACGACCTCGGTGCTGTCGGTCCAGCTTTCCTTTGATCACCATAAGAAAGTTCACAAAGAATCACAGTTCTGTTTCCTTTTGCCTTCCTGCATACCTGACTGTTTTTCATATTATTAATCAAACTTCCTACCCTTCCTTCTATTCCGTTTAGTAGAGGACACCATCTTAATTGTTAATACACCACTAATTTTCTCTCATGGAGAAATCAAGAAATCCAAGCTCAAAAACCCATAAAAAAAATCTTCTCACACTTGGATTATCTCAGGAGAGCAGAGATGATTGGTACCAATTAGACTTTAGAAAACTACACATGCCACAACTTGATTTAAGAATAGACTTTTAGTGAGCCCTACCTGGCCTCCTGGGACTCAGCACGTCCACGGAGACACGCCCAGAGGAGACTATGGAAGTGCCCCACTCACAAATCGTTATTTTCCGGGAAGAAATCTTGACCTAGAATAAATGAGGCAACTACTAGTCATGCTGAATGTGGTTCTTTTTCTCTCTTTTTTTTTGAGAGTTTTTTTGCTATAGGGTGTGTGCACTCGCCAGACAGACAGAGAGAGACAGAGAGATAGAAAGCGAGAAATCACCCCCCAGGGGGGATAGCCATGCCACAATCCCTTCTCCTCCATTCTCCTCTCGGGATCTTGGGCACACACGCACACGTGCCCGGCGTGCGTTCTAAGCCACCGGGTCCAGGACACGAACCGTGGTCGACTACATGGGAGTCCAGCGACATAGCCATTATGCTAACTGCTGGTTCCTTGAACGTGGTTCTTGATGTAGAAGAAAACTTGCATTTTTTGAAGCTTTATGAAGAAAGTTCAATGATGCATTAAAGGCACTTGCCTTAAATTCTAGCAAAGAGATTTACTTTCCTAATACAGAAAGGAGACGAACATTTTTTCTCGTTCAGTTATTCTGGTTTTATAATTGGGCTCTTTTTCTTTCAGTGTACTCATGGACAAAGACAGACCTCGGGACTGAAAGTGTTTCCTGGGAATCCTTAGTGCTGTGAGTACTGCTTTGCCAGACAGAAGGGAAGAGGACTACTTTGATTAAAGTTCTGCTTTTTTCTGAATTGACTAGATACAGTTAGCCCTGATGCTTTGATGCCTTTAAGTAAATTCCAATAAAGGACTTTCAGTTTCACACAGAAAGCTTGTAACAATGAGCTAGCTTCGGCATTTCCTAAACAAAAGCAGTCTTTATTCGCTGCATCCTTCTAGACCATCTGTTGAGATGAATTTCAAGCACGTTGTCTTTATTCAAGGTCAAACTGAACAGTCTCCTGAGTAGTGATTCTTCGGTTCCTTCTCACTAGTGCAGTGTATAATCTAAGGGTGTGACGTCTCTGATTTAAGGTCGCACACCATCTTCAAACTCACTTTATGATCAAAGTCTTGAAAATTAAAATCGGTCCCTGTGAACAATTAGAAAAATAAATAAAACAAGGCATGGGACACTTTGCCTTTAGCCCATATCCAGAAAAGAAAATCCATATGTTAGTCGTTTTCTTCTAAGACTGAAAAGTTTAAGAAAAATGCAGACCCTGTATTGCAACGACATAGCTGAGAAAAACAACTCACGCCAGTGTGAAGCTGCTCAGCACAAAAGGAGCCACAGCGTGTGGTGTGCAGTGTGCGGAATGCAGCGTGCAGCGTGCAGCATGAGGTGTGCGGTATGCAGTGTGCAGTGTATCGTGTGCAGTGTGCGGTATGCAGCATGCGATGTGCGGCATGCAGCATGAGGTATGCAGTATGCAGTGTGCAGTGTGCCGTGTGTGGTGTGCGATGTGTGGCATGCAGCGTGCGGTACGCGGTGTGCAGCGTGTGGCATGTGGTGTGTGGCGTGCAGTGTGCAGTATGTGGCGTACAGCATGTGGTGTGCGATGTGCAGTGTGCGATGTGCAGTGGCGATGTGCAGTGGTGATGTGCAGTGTGCAATGTGCGGTGTGTGGCGTGTGGTGTGTGGTATGCGGTGTACAGCGTGCGGTGTGCGGCATGTGGTGTGTGGTGTGCAGTGTGCAGTGTGTGGCATACAGCATGCAGTGTGTGATGTGCGGCGTGTGGCGTGCAGCATGTGGCGTGTAGCGTGTAGCAGGCAGTATGCAGTGTACAGTATGCGGGGTGCAGCGTGCGGCGTACAGGGTGCAGCGTGCAGTGTGCGGTGGACCCGGGCTGGCAGGCAGGCCAGAACACAGCAGGAA